GAATCAGTTTAGCGGTCAAAGTGGAAAATCTACCCTCCGCCTCCTCCCCCCCCCTATCGCGAAAGTGTGCTGGGCGGGCGTATAGGTTGGCATGTTGAAGTTTGATAGGGCGCTGTAAGGCTACCTTCGTTGGAGAAAGCCCCTTGTAGCGCCTGCCCGCAGCGCCTGCTCAGGAGCGTCGAATTCTGTCCTACTAGGCGCAATTATCCTACTCGTCTTGTAGACTTATCCCCACTTGCCTTTAAAGCGTGGTGGCGCCATTCACAAAAATTCACATTGCACACTCTCCTCCTAGCCACTGTTGACTACATTCAACAGTAATATGGACATATAAGTTTTGTTAAATAGCCCAATGCCCATCGGAAAATTTCAGGGTTCGGCTAAAAAAAAAAGGAAAAGAAGTGTTATGTTCTGTTTCGAAACAATTAGTTCCGCGACCCATTTCGAACTGATAATGCGCTTTCGCATTGGACTTCCATCCTCCTGCAGAAAGCTGCAGTTGAACTTACCCATCCATGTCTGACTGTGTCCTTCCTGCTTCCACGGATACTCGGTTCGCTATACGTTGGTTAAGTTACAACTTCCCATGAAGGAATGCTTTTGATGACGTCTCCTTTCCATGCTCTTCTCGTGCTGTGGTTCATTAGGCGTGTAGCTGTTACGAGTGCGTTGCGCCGGTCAGTGGACTGATTCTTGCCTGGTACATTCGAATCAACACGAATTTAACATTGGCTGTTTCAAAAAATCAAGTCGGAAAGCCGATCAATTTCATTCGCACACAACTTTATACAACAGATAGATATGTCCATTAATTCGAACAAGCGGCCCACAACGCCAGTAGGAATCACTCTACCAGCTGTCAATACTCGATCAGTGCATTTCAAGTCAGCAGTGTTTTGGGATAAGTTCGGATAAGGTCAACCTCCGGAAGAACCTTGTCGTCAGAAATAAACTTAATCTTTTCATCGAAGTGACGGCTAAAAAACAGTATTAGCCTGGGGTATTCAATGCGCATAAAGCTGTGATTAGTGGCTCCAAATAATACATACACACAAAGAATAGCACAAGGGTGAAAGAAAAAGCAAAAACTCACCTTGATGCCCCATAAGATCACCCTCACTTGGGCGCTTATATGTATGCACAAGGCAAAGAAAGGAGATGGTTGGACTCGTTCTCACTTAATGGTGCGAACTCTTTCCCTTGTTCCCTCATTCTCACCATTTGGAGTGTAGCGACCTAATAGCGAAGTAACCGCACCATTAGGTAGCCGTAAAAATGAAAGTTGATCGTTGCCGTGGCCATGGGCGTTGGTTCCGTCGCGAGTGGGCGCGGTTTGTGCCTTTAAACCGAGGCGAGGACTTCTACCTACACCAGAACGTACGGAGCTGCGAGACGGGTATACCAGTTTGCAGGACAGTATGTCTACTTGGATGACCTTATTCTCACATATGCATCACGAGCCGTCCTTCAAATGCTCTCCTCAACGTTACTGTCGTCCTTCTGAGACCGTGTTCACCTCAGATTTCTAGGATGTCATGTAAAGTTGCGAAAAGATGTGGCTGTAGCTGTCTGTAGCTGCGGTGCCATTTATGGGGCACGGCTGCCCTATCCGTGGAAACCGGACCCACTTTACGACACGACGTTACGCATAGAGTCGTTTAGGGGGCCTGATGGAGCAGCATTTTGAGATCGGTGATAGGTATGCTAGGGTAAGTGCCGTTCTTATGAGAATAGACTGCCCAACATGGACAAGGAGGATGAGATACTGCCCACAGGGAACATCATCAGGATGTGGATCAGTTTTGTAATTGCCATTCCTCCTATGTTCTTCCGCGAAATGACCCCCACCAATAGCATCATAAAGGGCCCGTGAACTTGGAGGTTGGGGAAGGGCGGAGGGGGCAGGCTTCAAACCGACTATCAGAAATGTTAAAATTCCAGAGTCACCCATTAGAAGGGCCCATCACCACCGACCCCTCACCACCGACCGTCGCTTTCTTCACGACGAGTGCAAAATGCCTAAAAGATGTGTCCTGGGGCGCAGTTCGGTGACAAGGGGGCATTTTGCATTCGTGCTACTGTCCATCGACGTGTGAAGCCATCCAGACAGCTATTTGACTCGAGCCATACACCTATTCGACGAGCCTACAAGAGTTGACAGATTCTGCCGTATTGACTGGACGAGCTTCTCCAGCTTCAGAATTGTTCCTAGGTCTCACCAGAGTGTGGTATGCACCCCCCCCCCTCCCAAACCCCTCCCGTCGCTGAACTGAGCCTGTCCTAGTTGAGCAAGTACTTAGAAGCTGTCTAGTTGACGTAAATGTTGGGTTCAGAAATACTTCGTGAAGACTTTTCAAGGTGTATCAGATAGAAAATTATCAGGACCATCTGGCTGGGTGGTGAGGTGGTGTAACGGCAAGTGGCACCACACCACGTTTACCACGCGTGCGGTCAGGGGGCAAATCTCCAATCGTCTACCGTCCAGGCAACCAAACCCTAACTAACCACCGAGGCGGTAAATTGGTACCAAATTTGTCTAGGAGGATAACGCTGACCGTGCAGCGGCTGTCCCCCGCAAGTCATTTTATGGGCAATATCGCAGTCAATAAGTTGCAGTAGTGCTTAGATCCTGACAGCTACAAGTGTGAATGTCGCATAGCGATGTCGGCAGCGGCTCAATTTATATGTAAAAAACAATTCTGCCCAACTTGTAACGAGATGCCCTAGCGTTGCACTGGCCTAGGCGAGCCCAGTCGTTTAGCGTTCAGCAAGTGCGTCTGGCGCACTCTTTCCTCCATCGTAGAGCGCCTAGTCGGGGCGCCCTTATCGATTCGTTGGCGGTTTGGTGTATGCGGAAATTTGCAAAGTGTTTTTGATATTCAACGGGCGATGTCTGTAGTCGAATTGACGGCTGATGACGTAAGCGATTGCTGATTGTTTTGTTATGAATCGCGTAACTCATCCCCTTCCATTGTTCTTATGATTGAGTGCTCAGAAGAATGTTTCTGAGCTGTTTCTATTGGAAAACTTACGGTTTTCAAGCTATTCTCTCAAATGGACTTCATGTAAAAGTCTATGTTGTTATAATTGACCTGTCAAGGCGACAGTACCTTGGAGGGGCCATTTAAAGAACTCTTTGTGCGGGTTTACCGTCATCCGAACATTTTTACCGCACTTAATTTGATGACGTATCCGGAACAGTGCACATTGTACGGTGAAGATCCCTAGCATATCGTATTAGCCTTTGAGAAAACAGTTTCTGGTGTCGAATTTCTCGCTTCTCTTGCCAGTTTCAACTCGCTTTATCGATGGCCCTCCCCCTCAACCAGCTTGACGTCAGCATTTTGAGGGAGGAGCTGTAGAAGGTTGAGAAAACCCCTGGAAAAGTGAGAGTTGGGAAGATTTAGGAAGATGGTAAGCAGCATGATGGAAGGGGAGGGGGCCAGACGAAAGAGTACCGGAGGGGATCCTATTTCGCAAGAATTTTCCCTAACCAGTGGAATGTGCATTGACCCATTGACCCCTCACCACCTTTCGGGCATAGACAAAAGCCCTCCGTCAAAAGTCCTCATCTCCGTTAAGGTCATTCTAGTTTTGCATAAGCGATCCTAACAGACATATCATGGCGATGCGGAAGTTTTATCGGTTGTACGACTCTTCTCCCACTACTGCCTCTGATACGACCCCTCCTTGAACCTCAAATCCTTCCTTCACCTACTCTCTCGTCCCACTCCTTTCGAATTCCCAATACAAGACGATGATCGGTGGGGAGGGCAAAGTCTGCTGCCCTATACCCGACGAAAATTCACTACTTTCTTTGTGGAAGTAGTGAATTTTCTGGTCTCCAGACCTATTCCTGCTCCTAACAAGATCCTCTCTATAGTGATTTAAATACGACCTTTATCTTTAGAATTCTTCAACTATAGTATGCATTTGTTAATGATCAGTAGCAACTGATTACCATTCGTTAAGGTTTGAGGCCCCCTACTTTACCCGTACTTATACCTTTCAGGTGAGGTCAAGTTTGCAATTTCTTATGAATGAGTGGAATTTCTCGGGATTTCCTCAGAACTTCGTAATCAGAAGTCATATCGATTCCCTCGTAAGATGTTCGATCATTAAGGTCAAGTATAGTTCGCCGACCATTGCCTCCCGCTTGATTTCCCAATGACCAGCACCTCAGTGGAGGACGCTGGAAAACACGGCTCTGTGTTGTGTGTTAGATATTCTTCACATAACGCAGCTTGGCTTCGATTTTTTTGGAATCCCGGGATATCTTATTAGGGATCTCTGCGGATTCTGTTATTCATCTTCTTATTCCACGCGCAAATGTATCGATAGTGGCATTCGTTATTGGTTTTCAGCAGCGAGATCTGTAATTCAACACGCTCTTTTTTGACCCGAATCCAAATGATTTCAAGGATCTATGGTGAAATCGTAGAGAATTGGTGGTTGTAGCCTCTCGAATGACCGGTTGTAAGGGAAAAGCGAACATTTATCACAGTTACATTGTTGCATTTTTTGCCGGAAAGTGGTTGTGTAATGTCTCGGTCTTGTCCCAGCGGGAACCAATTAGTCTCTGTGGCTAAGTGTAGCGAAAAATCGTAATTCACTTTAAGCATGTCCATTTTCCTTTTGCTTTCGTTGGTAAAAACCTCATACTAGCTTAACTTCGAGATCATAACCTGAGTGAAATAGCTGGCTCTTTGACAACCAATTGAACTTTTGTTGTTTGTAGTTGGCATATTCGCAATCATTGAGTTTAGAAGGTTTTCGCGGATCAAAAGTGAGCGCTAAGACCGCCAGGGGTCTTTGAAGAAGGTCGGACTCCGCCCACGGAGACCAGACTCCGCCCCTCCCGCTTTCTTTTCACAATGGCTGCATGATAGGACGGTTGATCTGTCCTCAGTTTTTTTGTCGATTGCACCATTGCCTAGCTTCCTCTTGCTCTCTGCCTCCGAGCTATTTGCCCTTGTGTGAATATTTGTTTTTATCGCTACATGCCTTATTGTAGGTCTCAAAACTATGAAAAGTCTCTTTGTCACGAAGTCAAAAATCTATTACAGATGGCCGAGGCGGAAGACAGCGGTGGGGTGGGCCGACTGTCAAGGCTGGAGGCCAGCTATCTGGATGGACCGTCAAAAAGCAGTACCGCACTGTCATTTGAAGCACTCCTCGGTATGTGTGAATTTGACATTATTTCTTTTGTTTGCACTTGCTGTCCGTAGCCTTTACGTCTCTGGCTCGGGTCAGATGTTTGGAGTGTGTCATAACTTTTTATGTGGCGAATAACTCGGTTTATGAGTTGGCTATTCAAACAAACTACGAATGTTTGATGTTGCTGTATATTATCAAAGCAAATTTTGAATAGTGATCAACTCAAAGACATGTTGTGAAATGTTCATTGTTCTGCCGTCTGTTCGCAATTCAAGACAGGTTTCAATATAAATTTCTCCCCACAGTAGATTTCGCTTCAATTTTGTGAGAACTACTAGCCAACCGTGCCCATGAGAGAAACTTCAGCTCAAGATTTGATCCGATTCTCTAAGAATGGTCAGAGCGCCGCGGTGTAATTGTATTAATTGGGTATTATTATTGTTTACCATTTACTCTGTCCTACTCTTCGCTCAAAAGGGAGTGGTAAGGCCACCAGAGGTCTGTGGAGAAGGTTGGGTCCAGGCCACCCCCCACCCCTCCAACATCATTTTCACGCTTTTATGCAGGACACATCATAGTTGAGGATTCACCATGAGGAGAAGGTTCCCACATAGCTTTTCGTTAGAGGGTATTTAAGTACATGTAAGGGTTTTATGAGATTACTCGTTTTCCTCGTTTCCTTTCCAACCCCTTACCGAAATCTGGTGGACGGAGCAGATGAAGGCTGGTTGCAGTTAAGTTTTTTCTTCCATCGCAGTGATATTATCTGTGCCAGGAATATTAAGATTTCTGAAAGGGGGTCCCATTTACGCCGTTATTTGAACGCTATCATATCGGCGTCGTTTGATGATGAGACTTTGTGTGGGTACCAGTTTTTCTGGTTCTTGCGCTTTTTTTCTCATACTGCTCGTTGGAAATTCAAGAAAGAAAATCCTAAGTGACTTCGAAGTGCCCTTTTCAGACACCCTCATCTGTTTATACGATGAGTGCTGCAGTAGTACATTGCGAAAGGAGAAGTGTGTAGCCGAATTTGTTGAGTCTGGTCAGTCATTACTTCTCTATTGTTCTTCGAGTTATTTCTTTTCTGTTTTTTCTTCTGTAATCTCAATATTTATCGTTTTTATACAGGTTGTCCCTGGCAGATATATGATTCAATAGTCTGTTATTAAAATTTTTACTTTTTTTTACAAAGGTAAAGGAAAGTACAGTTGACATACTGCAAGTGCAGTGCATTTTTTTCGAACTTGTTCTTTTTACCCGCAAGGTGACTTCTGGAAGCAGTCTTGATCCTAGTGTCTTGTATCCGATTTGTTTAACCAGACTCGCAGTGGGCAGTTGTATTGCTGAGGAATTACTTGAAAATTTCGGAGGGATTAGAACAGGACGCAACTTCCAGTGACTCGTAAAAAAAGTTGTTGTTTGCGAGCAACCTTTGAGATTTTTTTCGTTTAAATTTTCTTGATTTTATGTTAACGGCTGTCGCGAACTATGCTGCCTAAATGAGGCGGAGGTGTGTCGGGCTCGCTTACCACGCGCACGGTCCCGGGGTCAAATCGCGGATCGGCTCCCGCTCAGGCCAGCCAGGCCTTCTGCCCTCAGAGGAAGGGAACTTGGTACCAGATGCGTAAGAGCACTGTTCTGCACATTCACACGTTCCTGGTCATCGTCTAGGCCGCATTCAGTAAGCCACGGTAATTCTAAATCTAAATAGAGAGTGTCACATCCCAGAAAGGGATTGATTAAAGACAGCCCCCGCGCTCAAGTAGTACATGGTCGTCCTTCCTTGTGCAAGTAGTACAGCCCCCAAGCTAGAGACTATCCCACTCTCGCGACTCCACAGCGAGCGAGCGAGCTACAGCCGCTGAAAGTTCTAGTTCTAACGCCCGCTCAGTTGGACCGCCCACTTGCTAGATGCCCTCCGACGCGGCGGGCATTTATCGGAATTGCATGTCCTTTTCGCTGACAGCGCTCATGCCCATGAATGATTCTGCTCTCCTTTATTACATTTTATTCATTAGGAGCACATACAGTCAACTCCAACCCATCTCGCAAGGTAAAACGCGTAAAAATCACGAGCGACCCAATTTTCGTGGTGCAAAAGCTCGACGCACTTCACTACACTAAAATATGCACGCTACCGTAACCCTAAATTCGGACGCCGGCTTTTTAAATGTTTCTTTTTCTTTTCAAGAGTTTTTCCTCTATGTTTCTGTTGTTTTTGTATTCTTTTCTTCGCATTCGATGATATCCACTACTGCGAGATGTGATAGAGATTTGTGAGCTAGGGGTTGCACAGAGACCGCAGGGAGGTGTGACTGTCAGGGAGCGATTTTGTTTATGGTGTTCTTGAGGACTCTTCTTGCTTTTTTCTTCTTTGGGGGATTACTTATCAGCTACTGTTTCATAATTGAAAAGCAACTATCCATGACACTTTTATCGCGGAGCTGTCTTTAAGGCGGAGACTTGATCCTTTATCTTTTTAGTGTTTTTTCATGAACACTTGTAGAATGGCTTTGCTGTTGTGAGTTCAGAATGTTTAACGGTTAGAGACATTGGAAAATCGTTGGCACTTGCATGTTTTTTATTGTCGATGATGCATGAAGGCAATTAGACATTTGGATGTCCTTCATGTTTTTGTTTCTCTTTTCCGCGTCCAGGTTTTGTCAGAGGGGCAGGCGCTAGTCCCTGAATCATTCACAAAGGCCAGGGCGAACACAGCTGTTCGAGTAGGGATCACTACAAATTTACAAAGAGATTTATTTTCAAAATGGCATTCCTACTTATCAAAGCTACATCCGGCGTATGGTGAATTAAAGGTCCCAAATACTAATGACAACAGCGGAGAAGCAGAGAAACTCTCTTAGTGGTCATATAGGGTCCCACACTAAACCGCGCTATTGTACAAGGCGAAGAAAGGGAGTGATCGGAAGAGTGTTGGTGCCAGCTTTTTATCCTTGTCACTTCACTATCACCGTCCAAAATGAATGGAACAACCGCACCACCAGGAAATCTTCAGAAGTAGTTGGGTATGCCGTGGGCAATGGGCGGGGCGGTGGCTGCGTAAGCGCGTCGTGCTTTACTCACGTATTTTTGACCTGCGAAAGTGCTGCATCCTCCATACTTGCGGACGGGACTACCATGTCCGAAGAAGGCATCTGAACATCAAGCAAGCGTGGAGCGTGTCTTCAATCTCCACAGTATTTGACAACCACTAACCAGTCAGGTAAGTCTGAATGGCACAGGAATGTCTAAGAAACTGCGCATCCCTACTAGTTCCATCATCTGAGAAACTTTTCATGTTTAAAGGCAAACCTCCTCTAGAAATAGCTCGCGGTTTTCGAAAGAAACAGCTGGAGTCTAATTAAATCAGGAAGTTCCGGTTTGCTATCTACCGCGCTCGATTTGCTGATGAGCTTAGTGACCGGTGCGCTTTTGTGATAGTTTCTCGGGTGATAGTCTCAAAAAAAGATTCATTCTCCCGTAGGACTCAATCCTGGGCGTCCCTGTTGCGTTCTCGTTCTTATGAAACTATACAGTTCGTCCTCGACAAAGCATATAACTGAAATATTAATTGATCCAGCTCTAGAAGACGATTCAATATGGAGCAAGGAGGCTTCAGATAACTTTTACTATGACAGTTTTTCTAATGGTAATTGGTTTCGCGTTTATTTTTTTTTCGTTGTCGCTTGCCAGTTTTTATTGTCGCTTCTACTTTTTTGACCTATAAAAAGTAGATAAAAAAAAGAAAGCTAAAAAGAAACGTAAAGCGAAAGCAATAGCATGAAAGGGTTTTAACTACAAAGCGAAATTCTATGTGCGCAGCTTTTGTTTTTCGTTTTTTTTCTTCTTTTATTCGTTTTTTTCATTTAGGATCTACTTCTAGTGATCCTTCCTGACGTTTTTGTAGACTCGCATGAGGTCATTTTTTCAGTGAAACCCGTTGTAACCCAAGCCAAGGAGCTGCGATTATGCCGCGACGATTTCGAGCTCTTGAAGGTGATCGGAAAAGGAGCCTTTGGTGAAGTGGCCGTTGTAAGAATGCGAGGTGTTGGAGAGGTGAGCTGCCTGGTAAATTCGTCAACCTTTTATGGAATGTGTAGCGTTAGTCCCGAGTCACAGCGAGGCGCCAAAAGAGGCATTGCAAGCACAGCGTACTGTCAGAATCCAGTCGATTCACCGTGCTAGTAATGCGTTATCCTAAGGCTACCGCTCGGGAATAGTCTGTCAGG